ATCAGTACTTCCACTTTTACCAGAGTATTTTTTAACACAAGTATCTGTACTTTTACTCAAGTACGGAAAGTGAGTACTTTTGCCATCTCTGATCAATACCAATATGAAATATTGCAATGATGGTGTTGTGGATACAAAAATTGACTAATGAAATGCCTTGATATTTGACAGAACAATTTTTTTTTTTACACGCCTAAAAAAAATACAAAGTAGCAAAGTTATAAAACATTTCAAAAGAAAAGTCAACAGTCCAGCTTTAGTTTTTTGTTTTTATTTGAGGTGCAACTGTCTAGTGCAATTGAGAACGCCACATTTGTGATGGGTTTGTAGGAACATGCACAACACATGAATACGATTCCGCTAGCGCATTTTTCCTTATCTTGTGACAAGTGTCTCGATTAGTGTTCAGCGCTCCAGATGCACTATGAGCAACTTACACACTTGGCTTACAAGAAGACAAAAAAGAAAAAGTTAATACAAAAAACAAAGACATATCCCCAAATGAAATCTAGTAAGAGTCATGATCGTTTAAAGTAAGTGGGTTTTTGAAGCGACAGCAAAGAGGAGAGCTCACAGGTGTCGCTGTAGGAGAGACAGCATCTTTGTGTGCAGGTAAAAATAGAATAAAATCCTCTTAAGTTCCCACCCTGAGTTTGGACATCACAGGTAGATTAAAACCTGGCGAAACCATAGATAGATATATACACTAACAGATAAAACAAGATATAAAAAGGCTGGATATATTTATCTATGGTTAGGAACCAGGCACTTGGCAGAGCTGAACTGGAAATCTTTAGAATGTACAAAGTTCACTACATACAAACAGTCTTGTCTTATTTATTCACCTTTCAGTTATTCTCTTGACATTATTTACATCGAACACGAGAAAAACCACAGACAAGAAGCACATCTTCACCACCCGTTTCTCTTAAACGCTGAGTCCTCTATTTAGGAAAGAGGAGGAAGGTGAACGGGAAGAAATCTCCAGTTCCACGTATCCATCCAAAGTCTGTTCATGTCATCTGAGCGATACACAGATGGACCAAAACGAAGCAGGGAGATGAGGCTCTACGAACTGTGTGTGGGTGGAAACCTTTAGGCGGCATGGCTGATGTCCATGTAGATGACGGCACTTTCCACAGATCAACAAATGTAGGGGAAAGACTCCGTTCTCCCAAAAGACGTTCGTCTGAAGCAGGCAGTAAAAGATTAAGTCGGGACACACACACACACACACATTCAGACACACACACTCTGGTGCAATACCAAATGTTTTCAGTTAAATTAAATGTGCAACAAAGCAAGTGGTTTTCAGCTTAAGCCTTCATATGGTGACAGGCCAGTCAACTTAATGCAAATGCTGATTCACAGTATATCTTCTCTCCTCCTCATCTTCTGATCATCCTTTGAGGGGTTTTTCTTCCTGCGTTACGTGGCTGCGCCAGAGTTCTGTGTAGAGGAGACGACCTGTGTGGGTCCAGGTGGGACTGGAGGCTGGGCAGCACCGGTAGGGGACCCGCTGGTCTGGACCTGTGCCTGGAACTGAGCCATCTGCTCAGGGCTAGCAAGGGTCTTCAGCAGGTTGTTCTCCTGCTCCAGCTGGTTGTTGCGTTCCATCAGCTCTTTGATCTGCTCCTTTAGCACCTCAACCTCCTCACGAACAGCGTACATCAGGTGGCTCTTCACCAAGTCCTGAGCACAGAGAAAGGAGAGGGATGAGGAAATAGTTATATCTAAGACTTCTGTGGATTTTTTTTATAACAGGCAAACGAAAAGTAGTCAAAAATGGGACATTGAAATAAAACAGAATTATGTCCATATGTGTCAGCCACCATATACTTTTTTTTGCACAAATTCCTCTTTAGGAGTTTATCAAATATATATTAAAGAAAAGAGTATTCACCCTTACACTAGATACAGTGGTGCAAGTGGACAAACACAAAGCTACCAGTCCATCTGAAGTAAAAGAACAGGACAGGAAAGCAAAAACAGCTGAAGCAGCCAGAAGGCTCCTACATCTCTAATGCCATGTTCACACCGTAAACAGCAGAGGCAGCAGAAGCAGCTAGTTTACATGCAAAGTCAATGGTTGACGCGCATCTTGGCACAGCAAAAGGTGCTGTAGCAGCAGCAGGAGCAGCACATCATGAGCTTCTGAGCATCGGACGCGTGCAAAGAGATTCAGAAACAGCGGCTGCTGGAGTGGAAAAGGTGACACAGACAGACACAGCACTGGTGATGCAGAGCACTATGACCAATCCCCTGAAACAGTTTAACGCATAAACATGTATATGTTTATAAATATGTTCCATTTTATTATTCTGGTGCCTGCAGTTGGGATTATCAGGGATTAAGCAAGAAAACGATCATGAGCCTGAAGTTTGTCGACACACATATATTAGGGATGGAACGGTTTATGAAAACCGTCCGAACCGTTCGGTTCGACTGTCTCGGTTCGATTCGCGTGTGTTGCGTTCGGGTCATGCGCTGCAGTTACACGCCTAGAATAAGAAATCGAGCGTGAACGATTTTTGCCGGTGTTGCAAAAAAATTAATTTGCTGTCGATATCTTCTAGAACAGACCTAATAGCAGAATCTACACACCTCAACTCTCCAGCGGCAGCCATTGTTGTTGTCACCCAAGCGCGATTTGGTGACGTGGTTGATTACGTTACTGTTGATCACCTGTCCATCATCGTATAAAGCCCGCCCTGACAATTTGATTGGATTGCCAGATATTGGGCGAGCATACTCGCGCTACTATTGAGCAATGCCAGACCGAACTTCCCGACCTCAAACGTTGTGGGCGGGACTAAGTTCGGAATGGCACCCAGGCTAATAATTTGCATCAATCTGTGGGAATTTCCCTCTTTTTTTCAATTCCAAAAAATTAAAATGAATATATATAAAAATTTAAAACAACTTTTTTTTCCTAAACAATGATTACTATAAAATGAAATGGCGTCCAGTTGTTTATACTGTATCATGGACAGCTTCAGTGCATTGGGTCGCCTCCGGCAGCCTGGATTAAAATCTGTCACTAATAAAAAAGTTTTGGCAGATTTTCATATTCAGATTAACTTTCAACCCTTAAAACACATCTATTAATCTGGATCGTTCTCATGAGCAGCTTGAAGCAACCACAAGAAAAATACATGTTTTGTCAGTACACGTATAAATGAATGAAAAATAAGCTCTCAGTGCCAGCATAAAAATTAATCTGTCCTTTAACAAAGTTATGGTGAAACCTAACAGGAGTATATTTTTCACAATCATAAACCTATTTTATATTTATGTGTACATAGATACAGCTTTGCATTAAGTTTTAAATAAACTGTTATTTTGATAGGATGTAAAAATTAAATGATCCTAGTTTTCCCCGTTACAAAAATTCACAACAAAAAAGAAAATATTTTGGCGTTAATTTCTGCTTTTTTTTGCTCCTGCGAATTTAAAAGCAATATTGCACATGCTCTCCTCGAGCTCCGAAGAAGTCGGAGCGTATATTCAGTTACATTCAAAACATTTTATCTCACAAATAGGCCAAGGAAAAATATGCCTCCACACAGCGAACCGCCCGTCTACAGGGGTCTGAGCAGCTTCGAAAGCGAAATAATATTTAGGTAGGATCGTAAAGTAATCAGGAGTATTTTCTAACTTAAAAACACATCAAAACTACTGCTTACCCAATGATCACAGAAAATATAGCCGCCATTGTTACAAGCAAAGAAGGATAGGGTAGCTCCACCCAACGTGCATCAGACCCACTTTGACTGCGCAGCTAGAGCAACAAAGATACGCCAGCTGCACGTCAGAATATAATATAAATAATATAAATGTATCGCGTCCAAATTAAAGGGATTAAGGGGTTTTTAAGCTGCTTCCAACATTTTATCCTCATATTAAGCATTGTAGTTCCAGCATATTCCATTATCAATATTGATTTGCCATTTCTTTAGCTACGATATGAAATTCCAAAAGTTTTAAATTTATCAAAACACTTCAAATATGACTTATTTATCACAAAGGTTCTTTGACTTTATAATTCTAGATTTATAAATTTCGTTAAGTACATCTTACCAGACAGTAAATAGACATATTGATTCCATAAAGTGCAGCAGTGATCAAATTTAAACACTGAGAGAAAAAAAAGGTGCAAAAAAACGCACTAATATGGATGTTCAGAGGTTTAATATATATGGTGCAAATATGCAATGTTTTGGTTTGGTGTTCTCAGTGTGATGCAGAGTCTAACAGTTCAGCAGTCTGATTGTGGTGGGGAAGAAACTGCTGCAAATTCTGCTAGACCTGCATCAAATGCTGCAAATAGTGCATGGTTGGGGTGTGAGGGGTCATTTATAATGTTACGGGATCAGGACATGCAGTGCCGGGATGAAATGTCTTTTATTTGAGGGAAGAGGAGCCCTGAAGATCCTCTCTACTGTTCTTACCACTCTTCTCATTTTCTTCCTCTTCTTGCAGCCTCTACCCCAGTGAGACAGCTGCTCAGAATTTTCTCTATGGTGCTTCTGTAGAAGGTCATGAGGATGGGTGGGGGTAGGTCGGCTCTCCTCATCCTCCACAGGAATTACAGGCGCGTTTGTGCCCTTTTGATCAGTGAGGTGGTATTAATGTCCAGGTGAGGTTGTCTGTGATGAGTCTACAGCTGAGCTGTTGATGAGCAGTGGAGCATGGTTACACCGATTCTTCCTGAAGTAAACTATGATTTCTTTGGTCTTCTCCACATTCAGGATCAGGCTGTTATCTCTACACCAGTTGCTCCACATACTCTCTGCAGTCCTGGTCATTATCGTCTCTGAGGCCCATCAGCGCGGTGTCGTCTGCAAACTTCATGATGTGATTGTTAGTGAACCTGGGGACGCAGTCATGTGTCATCAGGGTGAGCAGCAGGGGGCTCAGGAAGCAGCCCTGAGGGGAGCCTGTGCTCAGGGTGATGACATCAGAGGTGTTCTATTCGACCCAGACTGACTGAGGTCTATTTGTGGGGAAGTCTAGCAGCCAATTGCAGAGGGGTGTATTGAATCCCAGCTGTTCCAGTTTGCCTATCAGATGCTGTGGGATGGTGTTGAAAGCTGAGCTGAAGTCCAGGAACAGCATCCGCACGTGGGTGTTCTTCTCCTCCAGATGTGCCAGGCCCTGGTGAAGATCAGTGGAGATGGCATCTTCAGTGGAGCGGTTCCGTCAGTAGGCACACTGGAACGGGTCGAATGTTGGGTGGAGACTGAAGACGACATGTTCTTTAACCAGCCTTTCGAAGCACATCATTTTTTTAATCTCTTTGCTCATGAAACTCAATAACTTTTCTGTTGATCCTTTCTCCATGCGGAATTGATAGCTCCAATGAATATGTAATGTGATCAGATTGACCCAGAGAATTTCTCTAATCCACCGGCAGCGGGGTAGGGCAGCTAGCACCTATGTAGCAATTGTTTAAAAATAAAATAAAAAACTTTTTGGGGGGTAGGAAAAAAACAGCAGAAAAATAAACAAAACTCTGACCAATCGGTCATTTTGGTTTGACAGACGGGAAACCTTCCAAATCTGCTCATTTCACCTGCTTTCAAAGTTGGCTCTCTATCTGCTGGCGGGGCAGTAGTGCAGGTGTTCACCTGCCTGCAAGCTCTCAGCATGAGTCAATGATGGGCGCATCATGCTTTCAAAGTGGAAATAATGAGTTAAATATGTTGAAGTAATGAGGTTAAAAAAAGTTTCCACTAGGGCTCAACAACTTGGCTAAAAATGTACGTTTTTTTTCAACCAATACTGCAATTTTATTTAGATTTTATTCTGCACCTCCTCTTCCCCTCTGTCTGCTGGCAAAGTTAATGTTAAACCCATTACTGATATCTGGAGGAAGAAAACTGGTGTCTTATTTTTGTTAAATGTATGTAAATGAAGTGCCTCTTCCATGTTAAATATGATTTTATTGCAATTGGAACAAATTGCTTAGCTCTAGTTTCCCCAATTGTTAGGCAAATTAAAATTTTTATTAACCTAATGTCAGTGTCTCTTTGACAACTTTCAGTGTGACCAGCATTTGTGCTGAAACGCACTCGAGTCTGATGTCAGTCAAAGAGCCGATACGCTGAAAAACGCTGTGAAGAACCCTGTATCTTTTCAGAAGAAGAAACACAAAAAAGGATTCCAGAATCTCAAATGGGAAAGGGTCAGGTGGACGCTTTTGTTCAAGGATTGACAAAACTGTAGAAAGAGCTGCAGAAAACTAGCATATTTAGAGAAAATAATATAAAACCCTCACCTAAAGTAAAGGATCTCTGCTCTGTTTTCATTATTATTACTTACAATGCCAGGTATTATTGTTTCAGAGTCCTGAACAGAGCAGTTTTTGTAAATGGTAAACTAATAGTGTTCGCTATAGCACTCATATATTCTGAATCGGGGCTTGGATCACATACTGGGCCCTTCTGTAAGGAGGCCAAGAAGAATCATGCATGACCAGGAAAGGTAAACATCACTACAGCAAAAATCCAGCTCTATTATTCATACCCAAAGTTGGATTTTGTATTATTATTTAACCCATCATCAATGAAATGTACAGTTGTAGAGGAATTTTAGCTGAATTTAACCATCTGCGGTATAAGTACTGGCACATGGGGAAGAGGATTAGGGCCACTGAAAAAATAAGTTAACTGATTTTTACATTTTATTTCAGTGTAATTTGAGAATTCTGACTTTTTTCTCAGAATTCTGACTTTTTTCCTATATTAAACTGAAATAATATTTAAAAATCAGTTAACTTTTTTCCCCAGTGGCTCTAATCCTTTTGTGGGCATACACATGTGAATTTCTAACTCCTTTGATCACTAAAACAATGAGCAAAAATAAACCACTACCTCTAATTTTGATGAAATAAAGAGTTTCACAAAACCAATGTTCTAGATTATTCTTTTGACACCAAGTAGAGGAAGTCTACAATGTTGGGATTTGTTGAATAATCTTAGCATCCCCTCCTCTGTGGAGCCACCCGTCCTGCCTCCTCCTTTCTGCTTGGCCAGGGAACAAAATGTTCCTGCATCAGGATGGGAGGAGCCAATAGCCAGCAGAGTTATTTAAACAGCATGGAGGGGAGGCAGCAGCTTGCCTGGCAACACGAAGAGACGAATGGAGTGGGGTTGACTGTGCATCAGAAATTGGATGGGACACAAGTTGCATGTCAACCCTTTAGCCTGGCCTACATTCAGATTTACGCAAAGAAAGTCCAAACAAGGAGTTGCAGAAACAGATCCCATATTTCTAGGAAATCCTACAGAAGAACATTGTTTAGTAGCCGTCCTGAAAGAGGCCCTGCAGAACAGTCCCACAGCCTCTCTCTGCATCACTGCTGAGGTTACATAATATCCATGTTAGCAGCTCAAGCACACTGCGGATCTTACAGCACACAGGAAAAAAAGGAAAGCTCACCATTGCCTGCTCGATCTTGTTGTCGATGGCCACCACACTGGCACCTGAAGAGCTGCAAGACACAGAGAAAATAAAATGTTTGTGTGGAAAATTATGCAAGAGTCTGAGCACTGCGGCTAAATCTCACTTAAACGAAATCAGTATGATTGTAAAAGAAAAAATCTATAAATAAAAATATTAGGAGCCTGACATCAGCAATGAAAGAAATAAGCTATTCAGGTCAGAAAGACTTATCAACACCCTCATGCAGAATATGCAATAAGTGAGAGACATCACCTATTATCAACTGTGACTGACGCGCTTTCTTTTCCAAGCACCGAGGAAAGAAACGAGATCGAGAAATTTCTCAGTTGACAAACACCAAGGTCCATAGCCACAGCGTAACATTGGGAATCCATGCTATCCCGCCCATTTAAAACCCCCGGAGGCGATCGAGCAGCTGGAGGAAAGGGGAATCCAGCGGTAGGAAAGTAGAAACGCGGCGCATTATTATTATTATTATCAGTCCTTCCAGCTTCACTTCTATGGGACGGATGGCTCAGCTGCAGCTGGGACAGCACACAATAGACTGAGTCGCTGCTCCTGGTTTATCGCTTCCCTTTCTCTCCGGGTAATTCATGCGGCAAAAACAGCACATGCAGCCTCCTGATTGGCTGAGGGAGCTCATTCACATAATATATGCGCAGGGATGGCGATCCTACAGATCAGACCGGGGAGAAAGTTGCTAATTAAAATAAAGTCTGAGCCACCTCTCCCTCTACTCCTGATTCAATGAAACAAAAGCTCTACATATTTAGTCTCCATTCTCTCTGCGGAGCCTGGTTCTTTATTTTACAGTTCGCAAAACAAACTTTAATCCGCATGAAATCCTGAAGGCCGCGCAATGTCTCCCCCTAGGGGCGTAAAGTTGTAATGAGTGAGAGGCCGGATTATGAAGCCTGACTTGATTAAAAGATTTTTGTTTTTCTTTTTTTCCTGCTCTCAGCTTGTTAGAAAAAAAGGGAGGGAAGGGGAACATGAGGATGGCTGGAAAAGCAAGGTAAAGCAACGGACTGATAGACAAGCAGCTGGATAAACAAGAAAACATCTGGATCGATTAACGACTTAAAAGTATAATATTCTTGCCAAAAATGAAATATTAAATGTGTTAAATAGACGAATAAAAGGTAGATAAAAAGGTTGGAGTATTTGCATGATTACAGATCATCAACTTTATATATTATAGTATTGTAGGAGTAGTAGAAGTATTTCTTTTTTTTTTTTTTTTTAGAAAAATACAGCACTTTAAATGCAACCCCACTTTGAAATACCATCTGGATTTTAGGACATACCAGAACTTTTTTGTAAATCTGTGAAAGTTTTAAAGAAAGGATATTTCCCATATTGATTGTTTTTAATTTACTTTTATAATATTAGCAAGAAAATAAAGGGCAAAAAATAAACAAATGACACAGAAGAACTGTTAATCTCATCAGCGCATATACACATACATATATATATATATATATATATATATACACATAGATACATACATATACACACACATACATATATATATGATGAAATTAGGAAGTAGAGAGATATTGCATGTCTGAGCCTGGGTGGTACGGTGTTAGAAGGGTGGAAATCTCACCAGGCCGAGTTTCCTCTCCTGGCCGACCTGGCCAAGACCTACTTGTGTATACCTGGTACAAGTGTACCATCACAACTCGTGTTTAGCACAGTAGGGGACATTGTGCGTTCAGAACGTAGTGTTTTGTCCTCTGAGCATGTGGACCAGGTTATTTTCTATAACAAAAATCTGTCAAGAAGCACAATTGAAAGTATTGAACTGTAACAATGTTGTAGTTTAATGTTACAGCTTTACTAACTGTTCTCTTTTCCACACCCCTTCAGTATCGAACAGAAGCATTATTCATTTAAAGGAATAGTACACCCAAAACATGATTAGCCTTCATTTTCTACTCACCCCCATGCTGAACAACACTCTGGAGTACTTTTTTGATATCTCAAATGCATCTGGAGATCTGGGAGGCTTCTTGCTGTCTGCTGACATTCAAATAATGGAGGTCCATAGCGCCCGAGACAGAAAGGTCCATAAAAGTCCACAAAAAACGTGTCAATATTCCTCCATACTGCTCGTCCAATGTATTCCAAGTGTCCTGAGTGGGTTGCGTCCATAATTTACTCGAAACAAAGTCCTTTAGAATGTTTTTAGAGCATAAACAGTAGTGTATAGGATTTCCTAAAAGCGCGCGCCTGCGCGTTCACGACGCTACGGAAGCCGGCAGACCAAACCAGATGAAAGTGCGCATTCAGCGTCTGCTCTGCCGATAATGCAAGCGTAGAAGAAGAAATGTGCTGTTTACCTGTGCAACGAAAGAAAAATGTCTGAGGACTTCAGTGTTGAGGAAGAGCATGAGTTCTTTGCCGAGCTGAATTCGTACTTTCATCTGGTTTGGTCTGCCGCGGTTTCCGTAGCGTCGTGAACTCGCAGGCGCGCGCTTTCAGGAAATCCTATACACTACTGTTTATGCTCTAAAAACATTCTAAATGACTTCGTTTCGAGTTAATTCTGGATGCTACCCACTCAGGACACTTGGAATACATTGGACGAGCAGTATGGAGGAATATTGACACGTTTTTTGTGGACTTTTATGGACCTTTCTGTCTCGGGCGCTATGGACCTCCATTATTTGAATGTCAGCATACAGCAAGAAGCCTCCCAGATCTCCAGATGCATTTGAGATATCAAAAAAGTACTCCAGAGTTTTGTTCAGCATGGGGGTGAGTAGAAAATGAAGGCTAATCATGTTTTGGGGGTTCTATTCCTTTAAGGGGAATTAAGTACATGCCTACTTTTCTGTTGATAGTGCACATTTTGACTCATTTAGCGGACTTTGTGAAGTATGGCCTATGTTTTTGTTACTTGTTGCTAATGCACTTTGATGAGTATTGTTATTTCATAGTGAATGAAGTACAGGGGTATTTTTTGTTAACATTTGCTACTAGCGCACATTTGCACTCATTGCACTGATTTTGTTTATTATTGTTATTCTATAGTGAATGTAGTATGGGGCTTTTTGTGTTACTTAATCTGCTAGTGCAGTTATGCACTCATTGCTCTGTTTTTGTGGAGTATTGCCATTTTATAGTGAATGAAGTACAGGCCTATTTTTTGTTACCATTTGCTGCTAGTGTGCTTTGGCACTCATTGCAGTATTTTCTGATGATTCTTATTTTTTAGTTCAGTGAATTAGGTTTTCATAAGCCTGGAGTACAATTTTGCTCCTTCCGTTGTTTGCATTTGTTTCTCAAAAAAAATGCGTAACGATATTTCAGCTTCCATTGATTCATTTTGAATCAAATTTGAAACATTGTCTAACCTGTAAAGTAAAAAAAATGTAACCAATTAATCAAATTTAATGGTGTATTCTTGAGTATCGAAAATAATTGAATCTATGGGTCAGGAAGTTGCTACTGAATTGAATTACCATGATGGGTGTAATTTACACCCTCCCCAAATTATCTACACTACCAACACTGTGTCCATTGGCCCGACCCCTGCTGCTCCTAAAAGCTGAAGAGCTTTCACTTATAGGAACTTGAGAAACAATAAGATGAATGCAGATAGGAGAGAGAGTCTGTTTGTCTAAGGAGAACCTAGACACGACATTTATGGGCTGTAAGCTGATTGGATGAAAAGAGACACGGCGTAGAAAAGTAAGCCAGTGATGTCAGCCCTTTTCCTTCTGTTACGTAAACTGTCAGTAGAGATTAGATGGATCCATCCAATAGGATAATCCATCTTTAACTACGTGCTCTCTAAATCTGCTTATGGCTGCCTCAGAAGCCAGCCTCCACCCTACTCCATCTACTGACAGGCTGTTTGTTGCAGGCTACAAACTGCATTCATGCATCCTGCACACACATCACACTAGGACCTCAAAAAGATAAGCATCCCGCCAGCATTTCTGTAGATAATCAGCAGAGAGGAAAAGAAAAGTAGGGCAGGCAGCAGCGTTTAAAAATGGTGATACAGCTTAATATGCAACAAAATGGTGGCAAGAGTGGGTAATGTTAGTCGGTGAGCAGCATTAAATATGTCTTATTTCTAGATTCTCCAAAGTAGCCACCTTTTGCTTAATTACTGCTTATCAAGAGAATGCCAAGAGTGTGGGAAGCAGTTATCAAAGCAAAAGGAGGCGACTTTAAAGAACAGAGAATATAATACATATTTTTAATTGTTTTAAACTTTTGTGTTAAGTATATAATTCCAGATGTGTCAATTCATAGTTTTGGAGGGAAGATAATTATTGTCAAATCCTAACTATATTATAATGAATCGTGCTAATAAATTATGGCAAGAAATACACAGAATAAAATATCATGGCAAAATAATTTAGTATTACCTCTCTCAAAGAAAAAAAAACATATTTCTTGAAGGCTCATAGAATGCCAAAAATACCTCAAAATAGCTTGCCCTTTAATCAATTTTGGGGTACTGAAATATTTTAAAAGTCAACATACAGCACGCTAAATAACTATTGAACACAACACAATTTTATAAATATTTCTAGAGGTACTATTCACATGACATTTTAACGTGATGTCCATAACAATCCATTCAATCTATACATACAAAGAAATCAAACCATAGATGTCAAAAAATTGAGTTATGTGTTAATGTGGAATGGAACAGGAAAAAGTATTGAACACGAGAAGAAAGGAAGGTGCAAAAAGGCATGGAAAGCCAATACACCAGCTGAAATCTCTTAGTAATTAGAGAGTAATCCTGCCCCTTATCAGTGTAAATTAATATAAGCTGCTTTTTTAAATAAAAGCCATTCTTTCAGAAATCTGTTTTACATTTTTTTCAAAACAGATATTTTTTTTCTCCCCTCACATTGTCTGTCACCTAAAATCTGCTTAACATCCATCCTTATGTAAGCTCAGCAGGGTGTATCACAGGTGTGCTTAACCACAATTTTAGCCGGAGACAAAAATCATTCAAATTAACAAAAATAAAAAGTTGTTAAAAAAGCTCCACAC